TTTATTAGTATAAATGTTTTAGTGAGATAATATATTAATTATTTTACAAGCTAGCCCTAACATGCTCATATTTAATGTTTTAAAAGATGTAGAAAAAAAAACTTATAATAACTCTATTGTTTTTTAGACTTAAACGTTGATTAAAAAAGGTAAAAATTCCTAATTTTTTAGACTTAAACGTTGATTAACACCATAGACTGAGAGTTTATATTTAGTAAAATTCCTAATTGTAATAAAAAAAATAATTTTTGTTATATTTTAGAATATCTTTAAATTCATTATAAAAAAAAAAAGAAAAAAAACTACAATGAAAAAAGCAAGTCATCTATATATCGATTTGTTGTACTCCTCAAATCACATTCACAATTTGGCTACAAGGAAAAGAAACTCATTGATTAAAATATTATTTTTTCAGTAGTTTTAATGTACAAGAGACTTTAAGACTGCACTTGAATATTATAAAACTTTTATTGAACATTGTACAATTTTTCTTGCGTATTATAAACTTTTATTGAATATTGCATCTTATAATATAATATTCTCCAAACAAATATATCTCTCGCTTCGCACGGGTCGCGTACTATATATATCCCGTACATTTTTCTTTATTCATGTCTATAATTATAAGTCTGGATAAATAGCTTTAAAATTGGCACCCCGTGCATTGCACGGGCTCTGTACTAGTATTAGTAACAAACTATTAATCCAAACATAAACAATTGTCAAGCCATGAAATTCATCAGGTAACTCTGCCATTAGATAACTCTGCTAAACTAATAATTAATTATCAATAATTGTCAAAAAAATAAAGCCTCAAAATGCGTCCCATAAAAACAGGATTAAAAAATTGACGTTTATGAAGAGAAACTAAAAAAAAAAAGAGAACACCCATCAAATACTCTATTTACGACGACCAAATGATTATTTTATTCTGATAGAGAAAAAAATATGACCTATGCAGTGTAATGTTACTTAGGAACAATGACTTTGATGTGGTAATCCGGTAAAGAATATTTTTTATTAATCTGTGTCATTTATCCCATTCCCATAGCGGAGTGTAGGAATTCAATGCAAGGTTACAGTGGACCTGACCAGCCCAATATTGAAAAACTTCATATCCACCGTTATGGAAGATCATGAATGTGGCCCAGCCCATAAAAAGACAGCTAACCGGCCCAACCGCTTCAAGCTCCTTCAATAATCAAAAGAAAAGCAAGTAATGCGTCACTGTATATAAATAAAATCCATTTTAATTGAATCATTGATTGAAGTGAGTTAATATTGAATAACAGTTTATTTGGTTTGGTTGAGGATTGAGTGATGTTTTGAGCTTGTATTTAAATAAAATTAAAAATATATGTTTAAAGTTAATTTGATTTAAAAATAGGAGAGAGATTATTAGAAATGATAGGTAGTTAAAAATATATGAATGGATAAATAATAAATTAGAGTTGATGTGGTGTGATGATGATTGATTGATATTATTTAATGAGTTGAATTAAATTAGAGTTGGATTGAATTAAATTTGAATTTGATTTTGAGTTAAGTAGTATAAAACATTGTCCGATATTTTCAAGGATTGTTGTCATAATTGCCCTTGTTTTTTAGGAAAGCCCAGTATCTTGTTTGTGAGGACACTGCCTTATCAGATATTTTACAATATATCTGTAAGTATATATGACTTAACAGTAAAAAATTACGATGAGAATGATGTCTCGATAGTAGGATCGAAAATCATATGGAAACACGACAACTCCTTTTTCTGAACAACATAAAGTTTTAGCGCAAAAAATTGTACGTATATTCTGAAAAAAGTACAAATTTTACCTACAAATTCATATTTTTTTAAATATTTACGAAGCTTTTATTTTACTTTACAAATATACTAATTTTTACGGTTTATCGATGATTCAATAATGGGTTATTTTTTAGTTTTTAATTTTACTTTTTTATTTTTTATTTATTACTCGTTTATAAATTATTTGTCTATTATTTTATTATGAATATATTCTCGCACAAAAAAATAAAAAAAATAAAAAGTATAGTAATTATGTAAAGTGAAAAGGTATAATGAAAGAAAATAACTCGTTTGACGAATTATTAGTCCACTTGACCAATATAAAACGTAGTTCACAAGCTAACAAATATGGAATTTAAAAGCACTCAAAGATTCTTCCAACACTGGGACAATCGTTATTTGGATGAAATGAATTCATTTGATACCATCCAACTATTTAGTTATAAAAATCAAAAGAGTTATAGAACTATTTTCATATTTACAAATATCGCTAATGAAAGTTTGTGGATAATTTTTTTTTTTTTAATAAGTCGGTCCACTCATGCACGCGTAACTCGTAATAATATATAAAATTGAGATAAAAATTACAACCTTATTCAACAAAGCACTTTTCGCACGAATTATCTTAAGAAGTCATTAAGAACTTTAGACTTAACTATCCAATCAACAACAAAGCATCGCCAAAAGACACTTTTATCTAATGATGCAAAGATAAAACACCCAATATTAAAAGGATATGTATCCAATATTCCTTTCCTTGAGTGCAATTTCAACCATTTAGCTACAATAATTCTTGTAAAGTGTTGGAAGCGTGACAAAGATCATGTGTTGGATTCAATTTTATCATTTGCCATAGTTACTAAAATCTTTTCAATAAGAATATTGTTAGGTATGTTTAATAGTTAAGACAGTCTGATTTTCAACAAATATACATAATAGATATGTCATATTCTAAGAAACAATATAAAAAATAATGATATTTCATGGTATCATTATTTATTTTTTAAATTAGAAAAAAGATGCACTAGGTCCACACTTATATTATATTGAATCTCATCCAACAATAATTTATTTTTGTGAATACTTCAATTATTGAGTAGAGTATTTTTTAATAATTTGTTCAATTAGATGCCATGGTTGGCTATTTCATCAATCAATTCCGTAGCTCATCTTTCATTAGACATTAATTGTGGAGCATAAGGAACTTCATTAGTTCATGCATTCTAAACGTGGAAACTCTCAACTTTTTGAAGTGTAGCAAAACAAGACAATGACACAATAAAGGCAAAACAATAGTAGAATGGTGAATTTAACCTGGTTTTAATCGTCCAATCAACGAACAAACAAGTGTTTATTTAAGTGTGTATGGCGCAATGATTAAACAAACTCCCATGAGAACTGATACAACCATCAGTTTAGCTTAATCAACTCGAAGATAAAGTGTATTACAACTCGATTTCACTTATTCAAATTTGGGATCGGATATGGGAATATTTAGCTTGGTTAGTTTTCGAACTACTTAGTTATACCCATGTATAGTGAGTAATAAAGAGCATAAAGATATGATGAAAATTAGAAGGCTAAAGGAAATAAGATCTTTTCGCATCATCTATATCACATGCATCTTTCTAAATTTCTGACTATATTTGGCGAGATCTCAATATTCTATCCAATGACTTTAGAAAGAGATGATTTATACCTATGTTTATACTTATATTAAAGGGGGTATTATTTACCAAATTAAGTAGTCAGAAAAGTCAACAGCATTTATTGCATTACTATTTCCGTATTATATTATATAAAAGGATATTCTATTTACTACATTTATTATCCAGAAAAGTCAACTGCATTAAATGTCATTACTATCTTGGTATTATAATATTTTATTTATTTAATTAATTTATTTATTTGTTATATTTTAAAAAGGTAAGTATAATAAAAAAAAATTAATAATAAAAAAATTAAATACCAAATAAAAATGTACACTTTGACTTATTTGATTATATTTGGTATTTGATTATACCAAATATATTCCTATTTAGTATATACATTAAATACTTACTAAAGTATTTATTTGTTTTCTTTGTCAAAGTTAAGTATAGATTTGTTTATATTATCAAATCATAAAAAATATTAAATCCATATTGTAAAAAAAAAATTCATATAATTTTATAACAATTCTACTACAATATTTAACAATATTCCTTTTTTATTATATAATAAAATAATAATTAAATATTATATGGTGAACAACAATAAGTAAAACTGTTACTTTCTCTTATATCAAGGGATAAATTTATATGCTAAACTTAAATTTTTATTAGTATAAATATTTTAGTGAGATAATATATTAATTATTTTACAAGCTAGCCCTAACATGCTCATATTTAATGTTTTAAAAGATGTAGAAAAAAAACTTATAATAACTCTATTGTTTTTTAGACTTAAACATTGATTAAAAGAGGTAAAAATTCCTAATTTTTTAGACTTAAACGTTGATTAACACCATAGATTGAGAGTTTATATTTAGTAAAATTCCTAATTGTAATAAAAAAATTAATTTTTGCTATATTTTAGAATATCTTTAAATTCATTATAAAAAAAAAAAAAAAAAAAAACTACAATGAAAAAAACAAGTCAGCTATATATCGATTTGTTGTACTCCTCAAATCACATTCACAATTTGGCTACAAGGAAAGGAAACTCATTGATTAAAATATTATTTTGTCAGTAGTCTTAATGTACAAGAGACTTTAAGACTCCACTTGAATATTATAAAACTTTTATTGAACATTGTACAATTTTCTTGCGTATTATAAACTTTTATTGAATATTGCATCTTATAATATAATATTCTCCAAATAAATATATCTCGCGGGTCACGTACTATATATATTCCGTACATTTTTCTTTATTCATGTATATAATTATAAGTCTGGATAAATAGCCTTAAAATTGTGCACCCCGTGCATCGCACGGGCTCTGTACTAGTATATTATTAATAGCCATGAAAACCATAAGAACATTATTCGAATTAATGTCGTGCCAGCCAATATAACTGAATTTATGTTGACATTATTCAGCAAGCGAGCTTCAGCCTATTACAACTCGGGCACAGTGGGATACAACGTCTAGATCGAATGATATGTTGGGAACCTCCAATGGAGGGATGGATAAAATGCAACTCCGACGGTGCTTTTAACATGTCCACAGGGATGGCGAGTGCGGGGGGCCTTTTGCGAGACCATCATGGTCGTTTTGTCGGGGGCTTCGTCATGAACATCGGATTTAGCTCTATTATGGGAGCGGAAATATGGGGCCTGCTACAAGCTTTGATGTTAGCGTGGGACTTGGGGTTCCGGCGAGTTCTGGCAGATGTCGATAGCAAGGCGACAGTTGATTTGGTGAATGGTCAAGCTGATGAGGGTGGAATCCACAGTAGCCTCGTTCGGGCCGTGAAGGAATTGAGAAGTCGAGATTGGACGGTGGTAATACGACATGCTTACCGGGAATCGAATTTCTTGGCGGATTATTTGGCTTCTCTAGCTTCTACTAGTCCTGGAGGTCTACAACGTCTCGAATTCACGCCAGCGGGGCTGAAACCATGGCTAGAACACGATTTTGTCGGGATGGCATACCCGCGTAGGATAGCTTTCTAAGCTTATCCCTCCCTCTCTTTGTACCAAAAAAAAAAAAAAATATAACTAAATTTCATTATACGAAAACAAATTTGAACGTTGAGTAATTATGTGTTTACAGGTCTTTGAAGTCAGTTTAAAAAAATAGCGTATCAAAAAGATAAAAATATAAATGGGATATTCATATAAGTTACAAGTTACACCATTTTTTTTTTTTTCCTTTCTCATTTACATTTCTTGGTTTTTGCAGGCCCCACTGGCCATGAAAACCCGAGCTCAACCGGTTACATCCTTCGATGCCTCGCGTTGTAAACGTGTTTCTCTCTCTCATGGCCCATTTATCAGTGTCACTTTCATCTAGAGCTCTGTAAACCTCACAAAAATAATACAAGCAATCCTCTTATATATATCACCATTCACTCACCTCATTTCTCACTCAAGCACGCAACGTGAAGCAGAGAAGAAGATAAAAATCGTGTCTTTATCCATCAAGAATTTCCCATTTTTTTCTGATTTTTCTGTAATTTTTCCAATCACCCAGCAGGTACTACATATTTGCTTTGTATTTTCTTGTTCACATGCATTTTGAGTGCGCCCCTTTTGCCCGTTAAATCTCAAGGTTTTATGGAAACCCCTAATTATTACATTGGAATATAGTTTCACATGCATTTTGACTGCGCCCCTTTTGCCCGTTAAATCTCAAGGTTTTATGGAAACCCCTAATTTTTACATTGGAATATAGTTT